AATTAAAGTTCTGGTTCTCTGGAACACTGGATCCATATATTTAGTGTTAATATGACTGTATTCCCACTCACCTGTTAGCATCATGTTGATAACAGCAATGGCGGCCAACACTGTGAAAACGAATCCACTGAAGAGCTCCAGAGTTGCTGCATAAATAGCATTAAATGTAACAGGCGATACGAAGTTGGCAACGCTCTCTATGCAACCAAGGCAAGCAAATAGAACACCTGAAAAATAGAAATAATTGAATGATCAATTGAGTGATCAATCAGCAGTGGATGTAACACGGTATTTATCGGCCATGTGTATCAAGTAACGAAAAACAATGTCATTTATTTGCACATATAAATCTGCCTTCAATAGCTCGACAAGCATAGTGAACTCAATATAAACCCCAGTTCATGCAGTATGTCACAAATCATACCAGGTGTTTCGAAAAGAGTAATCATATTCTGCTTCACGTATCGAACTAACTTATTCTTATAATAGCGAGCGCGGCGAGAGTGGTCGAAGCGAGTTCTATAGATGACATGTGCATATATAATAGAAGAGTAAGAGTTTGAAAACGGTTCACTTCCGGTCAGTGGACGCCGCTGTTGTTTGTTGTTATGTGAAGCGAAACTGCTCGTTCATGATAAAACATCTCCAGAATGTTGTTAAATGATAGGAAATTGTTAGCAGCGGCGACACACGAATCGTCCGTGGTGCCATTTTGAATTTCGCCTTCCATAGTCCATGCGCTTCGACGTTCTAAAATTACGTCAGTTCTATTATTAGCAAATAAACTACACGGCTGCACTGCTCGTCAGGCATTTCCTGCTACATATTATATTATTCTTTTCTTATAGTCACGTTAGAAACTGATGATCAACATAGATACTACTATTTTCTTGTGTCTACAAATTTGATGTATCATAGTGGTGGTCATATATATGTCAACATAAAACAATGAGGTGTTACCTTGTTCCGTGGGTTCCACTATCCTAGACAGTCTTGATCGTATAACAGGGATAGTCAATGACGACAAAGCAGCCACGACTGGAACTGTTAAAGAATTGTTATGAATAAATGTTAACATTGTTGCCAAATGACTATACCCTTCATATAAGCTGTGTCTTCTAGCTACAAAGTGTTTTAAAATACACTGTACTCGAACCATATATTTGATAACAGATTGCAAGAAAACTTGACACAAATGCATTTGGTTCGTGATTCAATTTATGATAGCCCACTGGCGATCCTTTTAAAGTAAATAATTTATTACAATAAATATGTATGTCATTCTGGAACCAAGTCTAATAAATAAATGAATAAATTGTTAATTTATTTGT